CACAGGGGGATTATGAGATGTACTGAGTCAATCCACCTCATGGGAAGTTTTAGCGGGGTTAAAATGGAAACTTTCCATTCCATCTTGTTCTGCAGACTGAAGACCATTCAATCACCTACACGAATATAGTCACTCTGACCCAGGCCCCGGCTGCTGAAGTGATCACCCGTTGGAAGCATCTGCAGATTATCGTCAAGTGTGAAATGGAGCACAATTCCACTGTGGAGATGCTGTACATCACAGAAGACGACGTAATTCAGAACCACAACGGCCTGGGCAAATACAACACCAGCATGGCTCTTTACGAATCCAGTGCATTTGAAAAGCCCATTCTCCAGTCACCGTACTATGTGGACTTGAACCAAACTCTTTTTGTTCAAGTCAGTGTGCACACCTCCGACCCAGGCTTGGTGGTGTTTCTTGATACCTGCAGAGCCTCCCCCACTTCTGACCTTGCTCCTCCGACCTATGACCTGATCAGGAGTGGGTGCGTGCTGCTACCGAACACTCTTTTCTGAGGGCTAAGAATGGTTTTAAGAAATTATTGCTTGCAGGCAGGTATAATCCACAGATAAGCGTGTGGAGTGCTTACCCCTGTGGGATTGGAAGATTGTTTAAAATACTTTTATAAATAGCGCTGTGCTGGTGTAGTCCATTGCAAGTTAAGTCCTTTGCTGCTAATGCAAAGGCCACAAGTCTGAGGAAGGTCCACAGTTCAAATCCCTCACTTGCTCCTCAGGAGCAAGATGGGCAGTCTTCTCTCTTTACATTTATACCCTCAGACACCCGGTGGAGGGTCAGCTCTGAGGAGGAATGATCTCGCAGGGGTGACTGTGTTCCACACAGGTGAAGTGAGCAAAGTCCTACAGCTGCGCCCTGTGACCTGCGGCCGTCAGAGCCATTCTGACTCAGGTCGACCCGTCATTTCTCGGTGGGAGGAAATGGCTCGTCTTTCTCTTGAAGTGCACCTGGTAGATTTGAACTGTGGACTTTCTGACTAGCAGCCTGATGACCTTGTGCCCTA